AAGCTGAGTCACCTAAGTGACAGTTTTTTTACATCAGGGTCAGAAAGACGCAGATTAGTCTTAACAGCCAAAAATCAACCAGACGTTGTTGCTAGTAATATTAAAGCATAGCACAGAGAAATAAATATAGAAAAAAATACTATTTCCAACAGCTTCTATTTTCATTTGACTCAGTTTATACACCTAAAATGTTAAACTGAAACTAAACCAAGAATTTTTAAGAATATTGACCCAAAAGTATATACCTTTGTAAAGATAGGGTGAATAATGAGTGATTAAGATATCTGAGAGACCTTTAGAGAGATGTGGACTGAACACCAGGAATCATATTATGTACTTTTTTAAAAGGCAAAAATACATGATGAAAGTTCTTTATCTTCTTCTTGAAAGTAAAAATAATATACCATATATAATATGTTTGAATGGTAATAAATATATAACTTGATGTCTGGAGTTCACCTCTATATCTTTCTTCATCAGGTCTCTCAGATGTCATGATGTCAGACATTATCAACCCTATCTTTATAACGGTATGTAAAATTGTTTTGTGTGAACATTCTTAAAAAATCAAGATAAATCTTTCAATTAAATTTTTAGATGTTATCCACAGACTGTTAAAAACTCCAAAGATTTTAGGTCAAAAAAATGCAAATGTAACTAGGAATTAAGGTAAATAAAAATCATACATAATAATTTTATTCATATTTATTTCTCTGTTTTGTTTTAATAATTACTAACCAGAGTGTATAAATACAGAATGGGTGAATGCCACTGACTATTTGGGTTCCTATATTACTGATGTTATAGTAACTTCTACAAAATGTTTAAGACAAGAAAGACCTCAAATGCCGCTAAGTTAAAATTATACAATACTATCATGAAATCGGTGGTATTATATGGTTCTAAAACTTGGACCCCTCACGAAGAAAATTGAAAATAACCTGGCAATATGGGAAAGGAAAATCTTACATGGAATATTTGGGCCAGGAGACGAAGGAGACGAAGAAGAAAAAGGAGAAAAAGAAGAAAAAGGAGACAAGAAGACGAAGAAGAAAAAGGAGAAAAGGAGACGAAGAAGAAAAAGGAGACAAAGGAGACGAAGAAGAAAAAGGACACAAAGGAGACGAAGAAGAAAAAGGACACAAAGGAGACGAAGAAGAAAAAGGACACAAAGAAGAAAAAGGACACAAAGGAGACGAAGGAGACAAACAAGAAAAAGGAGAAGAAGGAGACGAAGACGAAAAAGGAGAAGGACACGAAGACGAAAAAGGAGAAGGACACGAAGACGAAAAAGGAGAAGGAGAAGACGACAAAGGAGAAGGAGACGACAAAGGAGAAGAAGGAGACGAAGAAGATGAAGAAGACAAAGAAGACAAAGAAGACGAAGAAGACGAAGAAGACAAAGAAGAAGGAGACAAAGAAGAAGGAGACAAAGAAGAAGGAGACAAAGAAGAAGGAGACAAAGAAGAAGAAGAGGTCAAAGAAGAAGAAGAGGACAAAGAAGAAGAAGAAGAGGACAAAGAAGAAGAAGAGGACAAAGAAGAAGAAGAGGACAAAGAAGACGAAGACAAAAAAGAAGAAGATGAGGACAAAGAAGAAGAAGATGAGGACAAAGATGAAGAAGAAGAAGATGAGGACAAAGAAGAAGATGAGGACAAAGAAGAAGAAGATGAGGACAAAGAAGAAGAAGATGAGGACAAAGAAGAAGATGAGGACAAAGAAGAAGAAGAAGATGAGGTCAAAGAAGAAGAAGAAGATGAGGTCAAAGAAGAAGAAGAAGAAGATGAGGTCAAAGAAGAAGAAGAAGAAGAAGAGGACAAAGAAGAAGAAGAAGAAGAGGACAAAGATGAAGAAGAAGAGGACAAAGAAGAAGAAGAGGACAAAGAAGAAGAAGAAGAAGAGGACAAAGAA